TATCTATTTACACACACACACACACACACGCACATAAAAATGTATGTGTCCCCTAGTGTCAGTATAATGTTTTTATCGTCGCTTTTATGACCGATCCCTTTTTTACTTTCCCGTCCATATTTCCGGCCCTCACCCCCGTCATTTATCGAAATGTAAATACTCTGCAGACAGATTACACGGCCCTCTCGAGTAGCATTCTTCGCATTTTTCGTCTCGATCTCGATGAAATTGCAATCATTGAAAAAAGAACAAAAAAAAGGGAATATCCGGATCGCTTTAAAATATACACGTTTTAATAAAATGTATGTATTGCATCGCTGCATATTACAGATTTCGAAGCAGTGTATGCCGTGCGCGATCGATACATTAGTTGGCCGTAGTTACGCGAGAATCATCCAACCCAGATGAAATTCCGAGGAAAATGAAGATGAAAATCCGATACACGATCTAAAAAGCGTAAACAGGACTAAGATTTCTCGCAATCGTTCAAGAAGAGTCAAGCGTGCTTAATTTTCTCTCTAAGTAAAGTCTCTTTAAGGTTATTTACAGACAAGCTTAATTCTTTAAAAATAGACAAAGAAGACGCAATCAGCAGAAAATAAAAACTGTTTTTTAATTAATTTTGATTAACAGAAAATTTTTTGTTTCATATGGAAAAAACTGCTCATTGGTACCAAAAACTCCAAAATCATAATTTTATGAAATTAGATAATTCTTGCGTATAGCCAATCTAAAATGCAATTCTCTATAAAGAATGTCGCGGCTGAGTACTCTGAATTAGCGAATATTCCGAAATTCATTTTCTCGCCAACAAAGTCTTGGGAGGAGAAAATTTCTCATTTTTTACTTACTTTTATTAATATCGATATTTTTTCTTTCATACCCATTTTTAATTAGCGAAACTCGATTTTACAAAAAGGCTATCTGATAATTTTTTTTCCAGCTGAATTTAACTGATTAAAAAAGTGTGTGGGGGGAGAGAGAGAGAGAGAGAGAGATATGGGAATATTAGTGTTGATAAGAGTAAAAGGACGAATCGAGAGAAAGGATTGATTTGGCGTTATGGGGATTGCAATGTTTGAGGTCCGAGAGCTTCGGCGCGTATCGTTTACACACGAAACGTTATGTCCCTCTCATGGATTCAATAATCGCACCTAACCCACGGATGGCTCGCGCCGCTTTTACATTCGCATTTAATGTCGCGCATTTAATATGCGCAGTTTCTACCCTTTTATTTTATTTGATTCCTCTTTTATTTATTTTGGCGTCCAAGTTACGTACTCGCTTAAATTTATTATTCCCCTGTACGCATACGCGTGCATTTTTCTACAATAAATAATAAATTCGATGCTTCTTTATTTTATGCTGTACAATTTTTAAATTAAAATTTGATTTTTACCATGATTTACTTGGTTATTTGGTCGAACATGCGGTCTCCAAGCTCGAAAACGTCCGATTATGCCCTCGCATTATAAAATGCAGTATTTATTTTACGAAGAATTAATTACGTATTTTGCACTCTAGATGATAAATATATAATTACTATGTTTTCATATCTTGAAATAATTTCGTAACCGATAGTTGTGTGTTGATTTTCGAAAGCAATTTGCTTGCTCTCTCGTTTTCTTGCCTGTTTTTTTCTCTGTAAATATTTCTGATTATTATATATATATACCTAGGAGGAAAAAGAACGCATGTGTGCTTGTTTTAATACGATTTGGACACGCCAAGTTTTTGTATTTTACTTTGGTTATTATATACAAAATTTTTTTTAAGTTTTTTGTTATGAGTTTATTATATAAGTTTGATTTTACGTCATGTATTGTTTGCACAACGAATGATTAAATTTTTATTTATATAATACAACTATTTTATCTAAATATTTACATTTTATTACGATTTATTTGTTTTCACTCGGACGTGCAGTCTTCAAGCTGTAAATATAATTTTCTTAATGCTCGTCTCGCGTTTATTGATTTTATTCCTTTCAATAATTTAAATCCGAAGTGAATTCGATTCATTAAACATGAAAAACATAGGATGCGTATTTGATTGTATCTTTTTAGGTATTATTTTTTTATGTATAACTATATAATTCGTGTGTAACTACAGAGTGAAAACCAAGATAATTAGCACGATGTAATAAGGCAAATTTCAATACAATTGAAACGCATAATCATACTGACAATATCGCGTCGTCATGAAACAATATTAGATGCTTTTACGAAATATATGTGTAACAGAGGAGGGCATATTAATAAATTGCAAATGCGATTTACATTTTTTACCGCAACGAAATTCTGATGCGCCTACCTATCATTGCATCGAGTATTTTCATGATTTCCTTCCATGATTTGCAACAATAATTCGTGAATAGCAATTTGTATCAATTAAGTTTCGTTTATTTATCGTTAATTTAATATCACCAGCGTTTCGAGCTCGTATACAGAAATTAACATAAGCACTTCAACCTTTCTTGATTAATAGCCACTCCAAAACAGCGATCAATATCCACTTCGATAGGGAATGTTTCGTTTGGGAACGCTTCGATGAGAAAGGTTACGCGAATAATATGCAATTTTTGTACGCGTATCAGGTACTTCGTGTCTACTCGTGTCTACTCGAGCATATACGAGGGTGGTCTGAAAAGTTTCCGACCTCAACGTGAAGATAGCAGCACTTGTAAATAAAAGCTAGTGAATTTCGTTGTTCATCTGTTGACAGTTACTCACCGAAGTTTCAGCCATTTTGGACTCGCAGTTGTTATGTAACAGTCGTTTGAGTAAGTTGATGTGAGTGTTTTTGTGAAAATGGACAAAATCGAGTATCGAGCTGTCATTAAATATTTGTTTTTGAAAGGCAATACGCCTACGCAAATCAAAGATGAGTTGGATTCTGTGTATGGGGACTCTGCACCATCATTTAC